ATCTTGCATGTGCACTCTTATCGTAGTGAGGTCTTCATGGCAATTTAGTTAATCCCGTTGAAATGCTCGTAACGGCTTGAAAGAAGACGAAATTTGGTTGATAATACGGTGGGCGTATCACTTCTTAAATGTTAATTCAAACAACTCTTTTAGTACGCCAGCGCGAGCCATTAGTACCAGCATTGACATTTGATTTAGAAGGGTTCCTTATTGTTCTTTATTGGAGTATATTACTGCTCCCAGTGGGATACGGCGTGCAAATAGGAAAGCTTCTAGATACGTTGGATGCTTAACAACATTAAACCTTTTGTTGTTTAACATTACGGGCCATTGTCCGCGCACAAAGGGCTTGATAAGCTGAAGGGCTGATTGAATTGCATAATCCGCTCGATGAATAGCAAGCGGAGCTCTATTATGTCCTATCATTTACATATGACAGTAAAAGCAATTAGGAGCGTAACAAGTGGTAGTTAGTTGTAATAGAACGGCTTGATATTGTGTCCGATATTTTGTCTAATTCTCAGTCTGTTTGTATAGTCATTGTTTAGAAGCAAACCCCCCGAGCTGGGGCTTTTATCTCCTGGTAGCATAGCACGCCCAAAAAACATTCGCCCATTGTCAGCAACTGAGTGAAGTGAACGGCTCACAAGCTAATCACAAACGTTATCTGAAACGATTACTCTTACGGCTGCCGTTCAGAGCTCTTGAGAGTGAAATAGATCTAATAACGCAAGGTAAGAAAGCGTGATCGCGTTAGGTGCCGATGGGTTTTTGTATATTTGATTCTACTATGGCACGTACGCGCCGAAAGAAAACTGAACCGCGTGGTTGCTTGATCCGTTTTGAGTACAAACAAAGACTTTGATGAACCAGTTGGCCAAACATAAGGCGATTAGGTCAAGTAACTGGACGTACTTTTTCGATGCGCACGGGTCGTAGTGTAGCGTAAACGGTCTTGCTTCCAATCAAAACACACGGTGGATTACAGAGAAAACTTCACACCTTTGGTTTTTTTGAAGCATGATAGAATGAAATTACAGTGCTAAGTGAAATCGGAAGTCGATTAACTGAAAAGTATGTAAACAGGGGAGATTTAGAGTCCATGAACAAACAACCGAACCACATTTCCTTACAAGATGGCGAAGGAATCACATGCTCGATAGATATTTTAACAGATGACGCAAAGTTTTGCGTCGGGAAACGCTCAAAGTTGTGCTGATGAATTTAAGATTTTTGCGAACACTTTGGGACAAAGGTTCTCCGCCCCTGGCTGATTCTTGCTTTATTCTACAATCGATAATTTTTGTTATGGACGTTACAGCGTATTTGTGATTTCTTGCCGCGTTTTTTACGCCGGTCGAGTGTAGTTACGAAAACAGACTATTGGCGGTTAAGCGCCTGGTCGAGGGTCTTGATTCAAATGTAGTCATATCGCTAGGATCACCTTGTTCAATATAATGCACTTTTCTCACTGGATTGTTCATAAATTACGTTTGTTATTTCCGATTTATTTTGGAGAGGATTTTCAAAAATTATGTTACCTGTGATCTCATCCTTAAAACTAGCAATTACTGTATTTCGGTTTTCATCGCCACGTCTCCTTAGTTTCAAGAAATATCGTTGTGGCATGCTTGTCGAGATTTGTCCTTCGCGTTAAAACATTATTTGAGATTTTCACGTTTTCCGCTCAACTTACTTCGACTGAATATCCTTCGTTGGCGCGAAACAAGATCTTTTTCATGTGCTACATCATCTTTTAATTTGAACATTAACTAATTGACTTTTGGCCTCAAATTTTCTCCTTCCGAGGCCAAACTGTAATTCAAAAACATTACCATGAATGATTTATGACAGAGGACACAAACACAATAGCATGCATTTTGAAAATTTGCTTATTAGTTGACGTTGTACTAAGTGCTTTTTTCTGTACACCGTTTGTTCATTCAATTTGCTCTGAGTTTAGTTTTTTCCGTCGATTGACTGTTTGAGTTTTGTCGTCTTTCTGTGTTCTTTAATTACTTTGCGCTGCTAAGTGAAGGCGAGTTGCCAGATGAAGACGCAATGTTTTATCAACTAAATCCTAGGAATTTTGATGAGCTCACCGAATGTACCCTCAGTTTATATGGGATTACAATTGAAAGAAAGTAAGGTTGTGATTTATTTAAATCATTTAAGTTTCACATTTGGTGTTCTAAGAAAAAAAATACAGATTTTAATGAGAAGGAGAACGTATTTTATTTTAACGCCAATACAATAGCTACTACTACGAGGTTAAATTGGTTTTTTTTACCTGTTGTGATCATTTCTTGCCACCAGCTTAAAATCAGTTTCAAGCGAATTCTGGTTAATTTCCCTCAACAGTTCGATTTTGGATAAAAAGCCTTGCTTATTCTTGCTGCGATTGATAGTGTGTCATTTTTTTTCCTTTCGTTTGAGATGCCTGAGTGCTTTTATCTGGAGTTTTGAGTCAATATTTTCTACATGGTTTCAGTATCTAAAGCAGTATTGTGCCCGCTCAGAACACGCTTCTTCACTTGGTATTTCTAATTTCAACTTCGATAACAAATGTACTACGTAAGTTTCATCCGCGAGTCAGCCCAGCCAATCTTAATACTCCTTCTAAAGGAAAAAGGTCCGTAGTTGTATTTGCAGTCCTTAAGATCGATAAATTCAATTCAGTAGAAAAAAAAATGTCAGTATGGTTGTACCGGGAAGTCAAACATCCAATCGAATATCATCAAAAGCCAAGAAGTATCTTCAAAAAACAGAGTCGCCTTTTAATGGACTAGATTGAGTTGGCATGCTAGTATGGCGCTAGTGTGGGTTCGCTGTCGTAATTAATTACTTTTCATTTGCAGATGACACATTTGGCAAATCATTAGGGACAATAATAAGGTGTTTATACTTCTGAATCTGCTGTCCGGTAAACCTAAGACTCTCCGCTATTTAAGTGACATTACTGCGACCCTGAATAGCTAAGTGATTATCTGTTGTTGAGCCAAGCGTACTTTCCGCGGCTAGTTTCATTTCAGATTGTTTACATTGACATAAAATGGTTGTTTTGACAATCTAGGGAGGTTACGTAGCGAGTAGTAAAAAGCACTGCGGGTTGCTAAACAGCTGAACAAGGGCCAATATTTCTTTCTCATCGTGCAAACAATAAACTGCTTATATTTGCTATTTTCTACCTATATCGGGTAAGGCGAAAGCGTTTTTTCTCTGACGTAGCTACTACACGATTTTACAGAGTGATAAGAGTGATAGAGACAAAGGAATTTTTGACGCTACAAGTGAAACTGTGGTACCGCACCAACAGAACTAATCAATGTCGATGTAAAGAGCGCTAGTTCGCTAATGAGCTTTCGCTTTCTTGTTTTATTTCTTTGCGTAAATATATCAGAAAGTTAAACTTCGAAAATAAACACAGTGATGATAACATGTTCAGCCACGTCTGATAAATAGAAACGGAACTTGTCTCGCCAACTGCGAAGTGATGTAAGTCTCATATATTTACTTTGTGTATTTTTCAGTTTCTTTAGGCAATTTACTTTTAATTCCTTATTTGCTGTGATGTATTTTTAATGTCTAGCCCTTCGCAGCTGCTCTCTTGCCCTCGGCGAATCCCGACGAATGCCAGGCTTTTGATTTCTCTCAGCGAGCCCAGCACGTTGCCAATTGACTAAATCACGAACTTGATTTTAGGGCGCAGCTTAATTTTATGTTAATCGGGCAAATGACACATTTCTCTTCTTCTTCTTTTTTTTTTTTAAGCATTCATCTATCGGAACTATCATTAAACGTGGGCATCTTAACCTGCTGTTCTCAATCATGAGGATACCATCTCATTCAAAGATTATATTCATAACGGTGTATAAGCATGACTTAAAGATAAGCTTCGATATCAATACTATATATTTTTTCACACGAAAATAATTACTGGATCCAACTAGACGCCAGATTTAGTCATTATGTCTTTGCTGATTGAGAAATGCCATGTTTTTGAAGCTGTACAAAGTCACCGAAAGAAAGAAAAAAAATAAGTTTTCATAACAATCGTTCATTGTCGCGCCAGGGTCTCACGTTTTATACATAACCTTATTTTCTCGATGTGTGTGTGCTGGGGAAAAAGCAATTAGGACTCACTCAATTAGTAAGAACATGGCTCGCGGGAAAACAGAAAGACATTTAGAGCCGAAATACCGTCCAGGCACAGCGTGCAGATCACGAATTAAAGCTAAATCGACTTGTCCGGAAAGACAAGGAATAATGGGAAATTCATATGTGGAGGCGTGCCATTTTACGTATTGTTCGCACGATCTTGGGCTATAATCCATCGAACTCAATACGCTAGATAAACGATCATGTCACTCAGGGCTCATGGCGTTTAAATTTCAATCGGAGACAACCTTGCATGCCTCTTACATTGTTTAACTTTTGATTATATCAACTATTGAAGGTGATGAGTATTGTTATTTTTTGTCGCGCTGAGGAAATATTCTGGTGTTATCTGCTCGGGAATCTCTGTTCGTCTAACGGTGAGGGATAAATCGCATTGAAGACATCCCCCGGTAAAGCTTTTATACGGCGATATGTGATTTTCTGCCTTGCATCTGTCAGTGAAAACGATAACGGGAGCATTCAAAGAAAGATCGATCGAGAGCTGCGTTCTTAGCGCCCACTTCAAATAATTTTTGGCGGTGCATATTCATAAGTTTGGCTTCGAGGGAAGATTTCTTCGTGGTTGTTTTCACACTTTGAGCTGTAAAACCTGAAGTGCCGTTACGCGATATCTATATTTTCTGTCCCATCTGCCCTGAACATTTGTTTAGACTGAGTTAATAACACCTTGCAGAGGTGATTGACACCGTTGCCATAACAGCCTTGTAATTAGAGCTTTGCACGCCAATCAGGTCGCTAGAGTTTAACAAACGTAATACTCGATCTTAGCGATAATATACCCCATGTTTCTAACCCTCTTGATAAATACTGACACTTTGCAGAGACGTTACCACACCCCTGCATTTAGCCTTAATAGTCGGAGACCAAGTAGGAGAATCCGTAAGCAGTCAGCGTGATGTTTGCCCCGCTTCCAGCCCTGAGCTTCACGCCTCAACAGATCGCACAAGTATGCGAAACTCTGGAAGAAAGCGGTGACATCGAGCGGTTGGCCAGATTTTTGTGGTCCTTGCCAGTGGCCCCCGGAACGTTAGAAGCCTTGAGTAAACACGAAAGCGTGCTCCGAGCGCGGTCCATAGTGGCATTTCACATGGGTAATTTCCGTGACTTATACCACATATTGGAAACTCATCGCTTCGGCAAGGATTCGCATGCCAAATTGCAAGCGATGTGGCTAGAAGCTCATTATCAAGAGGCTGAGAGGCTTCGAGGGAGACCGTTAGGACCTGTCGACAAGTACCGCGTTCGCAAGAAGTTTCCTCTTCCTAGGACAATTTGGGACGGAGAGCAGAAAACGCATTGTTTCAAGGAAAGGACAAGAAGCTTGCTTCGTGAGTGGTATCTTCAGGATCCTTACCCGAATCCAACGAAGAAGCGCGAACTAGCGCAAGCAACCGGTCTCACACCGACACAAGTTGGCAACTGGTTTAAAAACAGAAGGCAAAGAGATCGAGCCGCAGCAGCTAAAAACAGGTATTGAAATTTTATTCTTAAACTTTGCGAAGATGTCGCTCAACAGATTTTCTTGTGTGCGGTGTCTGCGACCTGTGTCGTTTGTTGATTTTTCCGTAGTACGCAAACATAAACTCGAAAATCCTCTCAACGAAAATTCTCTTTTCGCCACCAAAAGCTCAAATCGCGGCTCAGCTCAGCTCGTTTGATACGGAAGCGGGCAATAGGGATAAAATTGAATGGTGTAAAATGCATCCGTTGCTAATATTTATTAGGGATTCCCGGCTAGTTCTGTGACACAGAAAGCTCCACACTTTATTTAAATTGGTTTAGGCGGTTTGCAGCGAAACAGATGGGCTAGAACGACGTTTAATCCTGAAACTTACACCACATGGATAAGACCATTGATAGTCAGTCTCGGTGTCAGTGTGTATATCTTATTGAGGCATGTGGTCAGAAGATCGGAACAGCTATCGCTATTTGTTTCAAAGAATCGCATTTGTTTTCTTTTATTCCAAAGCCTACTTCTTTAAACGGGAGTTAGTATCCATCGCTTTGTTCTCAGTAGACTTGGCGCCAGAAAAATGTGTGTACAATAACGCGAGTATATCAGTCATAAATTGTACACATGGTTTTCATCCATATCATCACCGTGCTATATACACTCGTCTATTGAAGGAAATTGATTGAGATACCGTTTCCCCTGAGATCTTCCGGAATTGTGTAGCATCTCTTAAATTCCACTCTACTGTCATTTGTTTTCGCAAGGAATATTTGATAATTTTCTTAGGTACTTAGCAAGGATTATGAGCTGTATTTAGTTATTTGTTTACCGTATTTTCATCTAATAACTATTTTGGGGCATTAGGACAGCAAATGGATTGGATTTTCTCTTCCATTCACGCGCGGGCACATTGCTCGTGGCTCGTCAAAAATTGTAATTCTATCTTTCTGAAATTGTTTTTAATCGTCCACGACGAAAGATGCAAGAAAGTTCTTAAAAGGGAATCAAGAAGAATAAGGAAAGAAAATGAGAAGAGTCTAGAAATAAGAGAAAGGTGAAAGGGAGAAGGTAATCTATTTAGCGTTCAAACAGTGATATTATGTGTGAAGTGGGAGGCTCTCACACTTTGATCAACTTTTACAACGTGAAAAGGCGATAACAAGGTTTCGCATTTAGCAAGCAAACTTAAAGCTAAATGACGTGAAAGCTTAAAATATTAATTAAACTCATTTGCCCGAAGTAGACGGGGCGGATTGTGCGGTATTTAAAACGTTGCCTTCTAAATCCTAATATTATCTGTAAACAGAAAGCGAGAATAGAAAAACATTACTTCCTATTTCTAGACATTCCTTAACATTTTGAAGGATAATGTTTTTTTTTATGTTCTTTTTGTAAGATTTGGCCCCGAATGGAAACGTTTCGTTTTTTACCGGTTTGCCTTTGTGGGTTCACCATGCGAATAAATTTAAATGAATTTAATGTTACAGTAATCTCCAAATCGTATAGTAGAACTACTTTGAGAACTAATGAAGTATTCATTTGAACGTTTTATTGATACAAGAATCGAAAATTCTTCCCCTCCCTGCAGACCAGTGTCTATCAAGGTGTATTACAGCAGCACTCATGTTTACAAACTGGTCGCTGTTTTCTCTTTTATTTACAACTTGCTAGTTTGGTGGCAAACCAGCGTCTTAACACTTTCATAAGCACAATGTAAATCCGGTGGGAAGCCATGTTGGCAGTTGGTTTTTAACAAATAGATCATCTGGTTATTTTCCACGGAAGCGTGCTGTTCTTGTCTTGTGTTATGAAAATCGCGAAATCTTTGTTGAACGCAAATTAAAATCATTCACACCTAGTTTAGGAGTTCCGAATTGGCAAATTGAGTGCCTGAACAGTGATAAGTATCATTAAAGCCATTAGGCCTTTGAGGCCCAAGTTTGAAAACTTAACAAGTGAAAAGTGTGCCGAGATAATGGCCTCAGTTCAGTTGATTGACAAAACTTGGCCATAATTACTACTTGCTAAGCTAAGATGGATGTTCCAGTGCAGGGTGCAACTCTACAGTATAGCTTCAGAGTACTTCGATCTTAGAGTTAGAATTATACCACCTAGACTTTTTAAAATATTTTTTTTCCCAGCGTTTTCTCATGTTTGCAGATTTGTTGTGAAACTGTTCCCCAATACCAAAAAGAAAGACATCAATCTGCTTTTTTCTCTGAGGCGGAGATTCAACAATCTTGCTTTTCCTAAATTCACTTAATCGAAAATGACTGATTATGGTAAACAAAAAGCCGATTTCTGTTCCACCCGATAGTGTGATTGCTAGTATAACATAAAATATCTGTAATGTCAGTGGACTCTCCTTTCACAATTTCATTCTGCTATCCGAACGGAATTTTATTTATTGTAACAATAAGAATAATTTTGCGTTGTTTTGGAAACCTGCACTTCTTGCGAACACTGTTTTCTCGACGCGAGTTCCTTTGTTCATTAGTGGCTTTATGAAATCGGTTGTGGTTATTTATTAACGAAGTGATTCTTTGAAAAAAAAAAAGAATACCGTTTCAATCAGGTTGTTCTATCGCTTGATTAAAGTTCCGCAAAGGATAGCTTTTCTGAAAGTGTGTCGGTGTCTTTCTTTTTTGACACCGTCTACTTTCGATCTAACTAAAATTTCATCTGGTCCGCTCTTTGGTTTCTTCTCCTGATTGTAGAAATTCAAAATTCAAGATTATGAGGCCGTATACGGAGTTACTTGTCGCCAACTTTTTCTCTCGTTCATAAGAAAAGTAACTTTTATTTAGCTTGGCGTGAGAAAAATTTCTTTTGTTTTACTCCATCCGCGTTGTGAAAACCTGCAAGCCACCAGTGAAGTGCAATCAAACTGTGATGAATTATTTTTATTGCTTACCACATGTCTCGTTTTGCTTTCTAAACAACTGGAACGCCTGGAAAAGTCCGCTAATCGAGCAACTGAGCAAGATGCGTTTGTTTCTTTTGGATTTAAGAGCCTATTCAAACGGGCAACAGCCAAATCACAGATGTATACTGCCTGCAGCGATCCTATAATAATTCGAATTATCCTTTGATTTCTTTCAATTTTCTTCCCAGTGAAAGCAATCTAATCCTTTTGGTTTTTTCGATAATCGTTAACGATTTATTTTATTATTTTCCTCCGCAGAATGAACCAACAACAGGGTCAACACATCTCACAATGCAAAGGCAGTTTTTCCCCTGAGGGAAAAGCGATGGAAGACTTTCGCGGGCTAAAAAATTCACCGATTTCAAAATCAACAGACGATCTACGCAAAGGCGAGTGATCCTCAGGAAAAATGTAGAAATCAACGCTTTCGAACAATTAAAGAAAGAAGCAGAGAGAGATTATTTAGAAAATAAAATTGATGCTATGGATGACGATTATTTAATATCGACTATTTGAAGTCAGGAGACTAAAGCGCAGAGCCTTGTTCTCTCTCAGAAAATGGACAAAAGCAAGGAAAACTAGAAGGGCCCTTCGAAAAAAAAGCTACTCTAAGTTTATTGTCAAATTTTGAATTGTTGTACAGAGATATAACGTTGTAAATGTTTAAATGTATAAATATAATCTGCAAAGGGCGCAGAACTTGTAACATAAGATATCTTCATACAGGGCTGCCCTGTTTGTCTTCATGTGGAGAATGAAAAAAATTCAACACGTTACGGCTGACATCTCTATGTTTTGATTGTGCGATCTTCTTAAGTCGCTATTATTAGGTTAAATAGAAGGAGTGAAAAATGAATATAGTAAAGTTGTTCTGATACAATGAGCATTTACTGTCCTCTTGTAATATACCCAACAATAATACGCACCAGTTTACTGGATATTACTTTAGGGGTTTTTGCCTGTGGTTGTTAGCTTTTTTTTTTCTTCTTATTTCAACTGGCGCTAAGTGAGCTGTTTAGCGTTAGTGTCATGCCTTATTCAGCTGTTGCAGCTTTACTTTAATGGAAAATCCTTTGTTCATATCCATTGACAGTCTTCCTTACTTACTCGTTGTCTTTTCGAACTCTTCTCGACTGCGCGATTAGCATTTGAAAAAAAGAAGTTGAAGAAAAAGAAACTCGCTAATAGATCCTTTTTGTAAAAACAGCCTGAAAGTGACAGCGTGTCATAACGATTAGCACTTTGCCCTAGGGTTTATGAAAGGCGCGTTAATTGCTTACTATTTCTATTCTTCTTCGCTACAAATTGCGTCCAAACACTGCTTTCAAAGGATGAGAATACCGTTTTGCGTTACACAGAGGTGAGGGTTCTTATCGATGAAAGATGTCAAACTCAGGTCAAATACACTCTTAATGAGTGCCACCCAACAATAGTTAATTACCATAATGTCTCTGTGTAATACACCTCAACTGTAAACATAGTGGCCATCTCGAAAACTTTCAGTTGTGGGGGTCCAAACTAGACCCAGAGGTCATAATTATACCTATTGATGGCGAAAGGTTTCACGCATTGTAGGACACATTTAGTGAAGTTTCTTTTAGCATAGTGTGCGTTTAGTCTGTCTCTTCAGATCGAAAGAAAGCTATTTTCTCGATTATATACTTGGAAACGTAGTTTACGGATAAGAGCACTTAGCAGATGTTTTAAATCTCGCTTTAAAGGTTCATTTAAGAGATAACAACCAAGTGAAGGTTTCATTGACAAAGATATGCTATCAACGCTGGGAAAAATATCGGGTTAGATTTGGTCAGGTGCGGTTGAGCTCAATAACTCCAAAGAATGCTGACACATTCTCTACATAGGCTTTATTAAAAAAGCACTTTAAGTAAGCTTATCGGCGATCTGTCAGTCACGTGCAAATATTTGCCAAACAGTCCCTGATAACGCAAGAAGCTATCTGTAGGTTATCGATGTTGAAATCCTACAAATTCCCTCTCTTCTTCTGCTAAATAAATCATACAAATAAACCCAGTGAACTATGACAAACTTTGCGCGATGTTTTCCTTTTTTAATCGTCTCAAGTCAAGGGTATGAAAATGTCTCGCCTCGTGATTTGATGGTCTGTCGTATCATTAGATTATCGCTTTCTGAAAGCTTTTATGACACCTAAAAGCGCCGGAAAAGAGGAATTTACAGTAATACATCCGAAACCAAATAAAACCGGTATGTACATAAAGCGCTTTAAATATTAGAAATAAACAATTTTATTTTCGGAAATTCGCACCATTTCAGATTTGGGCAGTGGCTATAATGAATTTTAAAAATTGCCTTCAGCCTTCATTGTAGAGGTGTTTTATAGCCATCCTCACGCAACATTTGCATACTGAGTTCTATTTCACCGTCGCACAACAGATGCGACGCATTTGGCTGAAATCTCAGTAATTACCGTCCGTCACATATCGTATTCAATTCAGGGCAAGACCAGGTCTTATATCGATGTTATCGCGAAGTAAGATACCGAAAGCAAACAAGAAAAGCTGTTACTTAATAGGTGGAATTTTCAGTTAGCTTTTGCTTCAGATATTGTTTCGGTTCTTTATATTGTCGACTTTTTTCATTGCAATTAGCAGTTCTTTAATGCGGCGTTAGTATTCAAGCTTGCGTGCGTTCTGTAAATGGTGAATTGAAAAGAAAAAAATAAGAAATGATAAAAGCATCAGAAATCAGCCAGAGAAAATTTTTAAAATTGTCTTGCGTTGATGAAGGTCTGGCCTATCTGTATCCTATCTTGAGAAATCAATCTGTCTTTTTAAGTGAGCAACTCTAATAATCTGAACAGAAATGGAAGTGATTTACAGATTTATTTGTCCGGCGGAAATTAAAGGCCCTTTTAATATCCAATAGGGTTGTGAAATGTAAAACAAATTTAAGTGCGTATGTCGGGTCACAACTGACACAGTTTGACACGCACTTAAAATCGGTAATAGTTAAATATGTCTAAGGTAAGGTTGATTGTAATTACTTAAAGTAATAAATGGAATATTAACAAAGGTTCAATTCCTTCCATGAGGAATGAGTAAACACTGTTTGAAAAACTGATAGTAATCTCTCTTTTCAGTTGTTTGAATCCCATTTGAACCTGCGAACTTGTTGAAAGAAATAAAATGGGTGTGTTATTTTAAAACATAAAACCATGAATTTGTTCTACATAGATTTATAACTGCGTCACATGAACATTGCTTCTGCATGCGACGATCGTACGGGCCCTCAAACCCCGTCCTGAAAAGCAGAAACCACGACGGGGACGAAATATTTGTTCTGACAAATAGTAAATACCTGCACTTACTGTGGAATGTCGATGAGAACTATTAAAGACTTCACGATATTTCTAGAACTTGTAGAATTGATAATAATACTTTTACTACGCTTAACTGGCGTTGAGGAAACTGATGAAGTAGTGACTACCTGAAACCTTTGTTGCGCGGTGAGGAACCTTATCATGCTTCTATAGCACAATGCGTTAACAGCTTAGTCTCTAAGACGCAAATAGATAATTTCAGATTATTGTGGTTGTGTAATCCACTTTTTCTTTGAAGTACTTTGCAACTAATGTTAGACGTGCAGATGCTCTGAAATATACAGTCCCTAGTTATAAAGTCGCTATTATATTAGTATAGTTCTCGAAAAGCATAGATCCACGAATGTTATCAAGGAAAATTCATCACCAGAAGTCTTTGCACCTGCAAAAGAAGAAAAACAACAGCCAGAATTAAAAATTACGCGCAAATTTTCAATTTAAATTCGAATGCTTCGATCCCCCCCTCCCAAAAAAAAAAAAGAAACACATGCACGTGCTCTGCTAAGAACAACAGGTACAGAGTAAAACATTTTCGGTTTGCTTGAACACGTTTTAAATTAGTATTTGTAGCACATGGCCAGCAAATAACAAATAATAGCCTTGGCTGTACACTAGAGGGATCATTCTTTGTAATGACCTACTTGGGAACAGATTCTGATAGCAAATCTTTTTGTCTAACTTATTTCTGGTGATACAGTACAAGAAAGTATTTACGATACCTATTTTTCGAGTGCGTGTTTTGGTGTTTAACGTTCCTGGAATGGCGAGAAGGATACCAGCTGGCATTACTCATCAGTACCAGTAAAGTAAACAGCGTATGAAAGAGTCTTGGAATGATGAATTGGGACGCTTATTGTTTTAAAATAAAGTGCCTTAGAAAAGGACAAAAAACTTCAGTAATATCTGAAATAGAATGGAACTGTGCCTTAGTTGAGGTGAGGTATGGGGCAATTTGATTAAAGAAGGATGGTTTTGCGGTTTAAGTTCATTGTTCAAACAGTGTCCTCCTCTTTAATTTCCCATTCGAGACAGGAAACAAAGTGATACCCTTAATTACATCTTCAGGAGATGGTGTAAATTACGTTCCAATTTTCATTTGCGACTCGCAGACAGTGTTCTGTTCGTGGATATGAAGGGATGTGTTGTTGGAGGTAAAATGATTCTGCTCGACATTTGTTCAAAATTACAATTGCAACTCCGAGATAAAAACTAATGACGACGACTGAATCTTTCGACTGAGAAACACAAACACACCTAGTGATTCTGAAAGCCATATTGTTAGCAATGAAATCTGAAAATAAAATTATGGCTACATCTTGCTTGAATGTTGATCAGCGTTATTACCCTATACCGGCTTTTTCAGTTTAGGAGGTTCTCACTTTCAATGTTGCCTCAATTCCAAGTTATTTCCCTCACTCGAAGTTTCCGCTTAGTATCAAAGGCACACAGACTAGAACAATCTCGATTTAGGATCGGTTAGTATGTGCTTATTGAAAGAGGATTGAGATTGAATAGTTAGAGTTCTCCTTTTCCTGAACATCAGCTGATTTCATCAGTTTGGACTACTTTCTTAATAGCTAAGCGTCTCTCGGATTGTAAATGCGCCGATACCATTTTCTACAACACTAACACAATATTAATCCACTGGAGATACAAGGATATTCGAGGAATAATCTAGTTGTTTTCATTGTCTAAACTGTACGAAAGGAATAACGGGGTAATTTAGTGTTTTCAAGTGGGTTTAAAACGTAAATTGGCCTCCGTAAAGAGTTTAGGCTGACGTTTTGAGCGTCCGCCCTTTGTCAGAGCTTTTGTTTTACTATTCCACTGATGCAGCACCACAGTTTCTTTAGAAACTTACCCCCTTTGTACGAAAGGAATGTCTAGGGCCTCGAAATTCCTTGAACAGTACGCTATTGTCTTGGTTGGGCGAGATCGTATTAGTGAAAATAAAGTAGTTAACCGAGGGATCCAGACCTTGATAATCCTGGCTGACAGTAAATGTATCCGTGATAATCTATTGATGGCTGTACGATCAGTTCATACCAAGTAACTGCATGAGCACCAATGAGCTCGGTAGTAGCGCTGAGTTCACTGAGTAGAAAGCGGTTCTTGTCTAGGACTAAACCATGGATACAAGGCCCTCGACAGATTTCAGTTTAATCCTTGAGCTTCTTAGTGGATATATGTTCCTTATAGATCTCGGTCTGGGAATTTCAAAGCCAGCAGATGAAAGTGGAAATGTTGTGAGCTGTAATAGATCTTTCACTTCTGCCTTTTGTTTGTCTCATGTGGTCACCGGCAATCAGTGGAAGACATTATATGCCGTCACATCGTTTCCTTTAATTTTTTTTCGGGAACTCCTTTTATATTCTTCCTATAAACCTGGAAGATTTTCTTCTTATAAAAACTACCCATTCATGCATTAAGGACAGTATATAACTGGCACGATGAATTAATGCATAGCAATTCTGTTTGCTAATGGAATGAAAGACCCATAAACCAGGGCAAACTAAACGTCGAACCTTTTAATTTTTCCCAGTGAAAGGAAAACAAGCTGACGGCTCCATAAAACGATGTACTTTTTTGGAATCAATTAGCGCTGGTGGCCCACTTTAGAACGTAAACTTAAAACTGTCTCAGCATCGATTTTCTATCCTCATAGACCTAGCCCAAAGGTGAATGATAAATAAAACTGGGTTTTCAAGTGTGATGATGCCACTCCGAAAAAAGGGAGTTACTAAAATCAAATCTTGAAACTGCGAATTTTTTGCCGACAGTCTTCGTTGTGTTCTCTACTATTTTTCATTTGAGTAATACCATTAATTCCATCACTTGCAATCGATGATAAGAATCAGTCAAAACTTAATATCTTTGCTTTTCCCTATCTCATCGTAATAATCACAGAGTAGCAGATAAAACGCCCAACATGTACTAGGCTTGAATAGGAATTAGATCAGAATAGTTAAATAAAAAAAGCGTTAAATGAAGGAGATATTTTGCCTACCGCGTTATGTTGCTGTTTCAGTAAGGGTTTAAGATCTTCATGAAGACGCCTATTGAGAAACAAAGCATGAACTGTGTAATAAAAACTCGGGCTCGATTTCATTTGGCAGCGAAACTCGATGGTATTTGCCACTACTTGACCTTCTAAAGGATGGTAGGTTATGCCTGAAGCATGCAGTTCTGAATGTTGCTTTGATATACCACTTGCCTACCACTCTGAAAGAAAGAATCTCTGATGAAGGGTACTTTATTCTTGTCAACCTTGTTAAAGAGTACCGTTTTTGTGGGAAAACATATGGTCGTGTTCTGTGAGCTTTCCTTTGCCGTCACGTCTGTGTGTTGACAAAATATGTTTGACATTTCTCAAGACATCGTCTTTAGTGTTTCATTCATTTGTGGACACTTAAAATGACACTTTGTTATCATATACGAGGTATGGGATCTGTATCGGTCGATAAGTATAGTTATCTGTCTCAAACATAGTGCAGTTACACAACTGTCAGTGGTCGATTGTTAAGGATGTCATTTATTGATCAGTCAAGGATACGTTTCATTCTGAAAAAAACTAACATGCAATCGGTATCAATTTCGAAAAAGGCTGTCGCTAAATAGAGACCTTCATGTATAAGCAACAATATTTCTCTTACTTGAAAAATCGTGCACAAGTACGATCCAAAGAAACGTTTGAAACACCGTCTCAAAGAAGAGGCAATAAGTCAAACTAAGATTGCTTTGATTTTCACTTATGATTAGAAGTCGTAATGCCTGAAGCATACCAATTAAGCGTTTTTCGAAATCATAGCTATATAGACAAGTGCTTTCGATTTCGATTATTTCAAAGTTCTATAGCTATACATTTGTGGAAAGCAATTACGAGTGCGAAATTTTTATTTGATTTTTTACCGCCTTTATAGAACCAAAACGTCGCCAGAGTAAGGACAATCAAACGAATCAAGGAAAATTGGAGATTTTGTCGCAGTAAATATGGTAAACGTTTGACTCAATATATTGGGTCGCTGTTGCATCGGAGTGCAAAATTGTTTTATTTGAATTTACTTTAGAGAGCGAATGGACAGGGCACACATCTTTATTTTTTGTTTTGGAAAGTGACATCTTTTCACGGTATATTTGCCTTGAATAATAGCGCGAACCTTGGTGTTTGAAGTAAATAGTGAAGAGGTTTTTTTTTTCTAATTTCATTCACAGATTGCGACGAACAAAAGATTTCCAGTATGACTTGAATGTATTTGGGCTTTAAATTTACGGAGAGGTACTTACTATTGAATCTAGTTTAAATGGGAAAATAGGAAAAAAACTTTTGTCTCTAGAAGTCGTCCTTGCTGTAACCAGCTGTGTTTCCACTCAAAGCTGGAACATTCGGTCCTATTAAGTGTTGAATTGTAAATTTTCTGCAGGGAAAAATTAATGGACAAGAAACGTTAGCGGCGTCAGAGTTCTCTTAGTAGATAAGATAAATTACTAGATTACGAAAAAAACCGTTTGAAAAACCGGGGGTAATTTCTTACACGCTGATAAAAAGAGATTATTAACTTTGTTCTATTTCATTTAGAGCCTTGAAAATGTTAAATGCACTTATATTGATTATTTTAATGGAAATCCAGAATTATCGACGAGAAAATTAATAGTGGATGTTAATTAAAAGAGTAAAACTGAGACTTAAGGTAACTTGGTTAGTGAAGTTTTTTCCTTTTATTTGATTGCTTTAAAACTTACTTATTGGTGCCATAGGATTTGGTCAAATAAATAAAGGCTAAAACTTCACCGCTTGCGTATTTGTTTGAAAGCAATAGAAAACCCTATATTTGGGCTATCTAGTCTTAATTGTTGTCTGATTGAGATTTCCATTGTAATGCTTAGCATCTGCACCTGTTCCTTTGAAACCCCACGAAAAATAGTTATTTGTTTGCCGACGGGGGTTTTCAGGGAAGGTTTGATGTGCTTTTGTAAAGCGGAAATTGACCTCTCTCGTTTCGTGTGTATTTTGATCGTTCGAATTTGAATAAAAATTTTCACCGTTTATTGTTGAGGTGAATTCAAATGGTACTTATGGTCAAAGTTTGCTGGAGAGCTTTCCCAGAATCAGGTGATAGACCATGAAACGCGGCGAAAACTTGTTAAACATCTGCTTTAAAAAGCAAATTTGCTGTAGCATGCCTTGTATTCATCATCTTTCTATTGGATGGCATACACATACGTTAAATTTATGCTCTACGAATTTGATTTTTGGGTTGAAATTTCTCGGCGGGAGTGAATGTTGATTGCCCTTCAATAGGACAAATAGCTTGGATCGAGAATGAAGTGCTATGGTATTTATCTCGGTGACATTTTTCTCGAGCAACCTGAGAGTCGAGTAAACTTATAACTGTAACCGACCCCAAGTTGCCTGTACTTGCGTTATTTCGATACGTGTCATCACTTCGATTCTTTTTCAAGGTGTACTCGTGATCAGTCCACGCAATAGATCTCTTTTGTTCTCTTGTCTTGTGTATCCTATGACGTGTCGTACCTAAGTATATGAAATTTTTCTTAAGCTTTGAGGATTGATAGGAATATAAGATATCGAGCTTATATACTTAAACGACTGATGTTGGAGATAAGGTGGCGTTTCAGTAGAACCTTTAAATGCCACCATCGGAAAAGACGTATGACTTCTTTCCCGTGTAGTTTAGTGTCTAGTGAGCGTCAAATGTGACGATAAATTAAGTTTCTTGAAGAGTTGTAATATTTCTGAACTTAAAAGAATGTTTTCTTATTTCTCTTCATGAAGTTTATTACTTGGGGAGTTTGCATTGAGTCATTGACTTGATGTGAAAGTTTGGTTACTGTGATGTACAGGTTCTTTCATAAAAAGAACAAATAATCTCTACCATAATGGTACTCAGCTACACTTTAACATTTTTTTCTTTTTCATTGTATCACTCTTTTGCAGCGTTTATTGTCCTGGGCTCGGTTGTTCAAAGGTTGGATAACGCTATCCACTGGATAAATCGCTATCCCGTGGATAGCGCAGTACGTTTTCTGAACAGTTATCCACTGCATAGTGATTTATCCGTTGGATAGCGTTATCCACTCTTTGAACACCTCGGGCCTGGTTGTAAGTCGCTTGAGCGTGATTGTGTTAAGGGTATCGATCTGACGTTAAATCCAGATGCAGGAGGAATTCATTGAACTGATCTGAGTGACGCTTTCAGTGTACGTATTAAATAGTCTTTGAGAGACTCTTGAAAGAGTTCGATCATTCAAATGAATAGTTTTAGTAGCTCTATGCCTCCTGTTGGAACGTAGAAGTCAGTTCCACCGTTTCCTTAAGTGACTTGTGAGTTTTTTAGGCTTTTAATGTTATGCCTGATTGGGAAATTTTGACTGTTAGTCGGCAATGCGATTTATATGTTCATAGACGATCAGCTGGCAGGTTGAATCTCTATGGTAAAGTGCTAACTTCGTCTGTATACTAATTCAGTGGAATCTTGATGTTTCAAACCTTCTTGAGAAGAGCCGGAATTGGACTTTTTGATGGAGTTATCAGATTTTCGGGTTATCACATGCAGTTGAATTCCTTATGAGGCGTGGAAATAAACACAAAGGTGTATGTGTAGGATATCGAGAATATTGCTTTATGGTACGCTTTTGTACTTACGAAGGCATACGAAATGAAAATTAGTTCACCAACGCATCAGTTTTCGTCAGTTTTTGAACCACCGAAAAGAAAATGAAAGAAACTGCAGTCGATGAACGTTTGGGCATTCATTGCACTTTTAATTAAAGCCTGTGGTTCTTATTTTAAAATTCCGAAAGAAAAAAAAAATCCTTGGGTAAGTTATTTTATGGGAAAACTTATGGAAGTGATTGTCCGACAGATTTCTTAAGAACACAACGAATTAGGCTATTGCGCGTAAATGAACTTCACCGGTTACATATGCAGTTGAGTTATGGTCCCTTGGTAACTCTATCTCGTAGGCAAAGGAGAGCAGGTTGAATTATCGACTTAGCAGTGGACACATTATTAATTCTGGTGACGGTTCTTTAAATTATTAAAGTACGAGGTTTAAAGAAAAGTGTTTTTACAGGTGTTTTTCGTTAAAGTGTTGATAGGAGCTGAGACTATGCTTATATTTTTGAACCAGCAGGTAATCATAAACAATATTCTTAAAGATGAATAGCTCTTGTCTTTTCAAGCCTGAGACAGCTGAGCTACTCTTTGCCTGATACAATCCTAATCTCCGTGTCTGCCGCTCCTTTACCTTTTTTTATATTTTACAAGTGTTTTCTTTTCTTTTAAAATCACCTTTGAAAACAGGGTAGCCTTGAAACATTATGTAAGCGGCGGTGAAATTGCTTGTATGAAGAGGCGCTCTCCGCCCTCTATAATAGCTAACAGTTAATCTACTGAGCGTTCTTTAATATTACTGCGACAAAACGTTTGCGTTTTCCCACTGATTTGCAAAGTAGTTTAACTGGCATACGTCGCCTGGCAAAAGTAAAATGCAGTGAGATAATAAAGAAACGTACGTACCTATAAGTTTATTGTTAACGCAACCCAATTATTGTATTTCCAGAAGCCAAAGAAAGTTCTTCAAAACCAGTGGGAAAATAACATTTTAAGATTATTTAATTGGCGTAGATTCCCTTGTTTTCTCCTGGTGGCTTCATTTAACACTTTTTTTATAACGCTTGTGTTTACTAGTAATCATGCAAGTGTATTTTGGTAATGAACGTTTTAATTTAGGATGCAGGATGAATTTTTATGGTTTCTTCCAACGTAAAACTAATAAATAATTGCGCCACGCGCTAACTAGATGTTTTTATTCGCAATTTTGAGGTGAGATGTTGCAAATATGTTGACAGGCTTACTATAAACTGCGGTGTTTTTTATAGCAACAGTAAAGCTGGTGTCGTAAACAACTTTCAAAGCTTTGCACTTGGGTGTAAACATCTCTTTTAAGCAAATTTTGCGAAAAAAATATAACAAC